GCAGCACTGGCCCAGCCCTGGGCGTAGTGTGTCAGAACCCGTGGTCTGGAGACAGACCACTGACGTACACATGTTAATGGCCTTGGCGTAGCCCTCTTCAAGATCCTCCTGCTCCTTCCCAGCACAACACGCTTTTGTCCACAGCCCCAGGCCCAAGCTTGGCCCTCATCAACCTCAGGGACATGTCAACCCCGTGCTAGCAACCAGCTCCCACGGGACATGTCAGAGGAGGTCTCCATGGGCCTCTGCGCTGATGGGACCCCAGAATGCTCACCAGCACCCTGGACCTTCCTATGCCAGGACCCTCGAAGAGCTTCCCATCTGGGCTTGCTGCTCGTTAATCTGTGGAGACCCCGCCTTCAGTGGCTTTCTGGGAAATGGAAGTCAGCAATTAGCTCCCGAATCTCCCTGCGTGGCTCTGTCCGACCCGTCCGTACCTGACTGGTACAGGGATTGGATGCGCGTTCGAGGGTGGAAGTGATTTCCCGGGGTGCTCAGCCTGTCTGAGCTCTGTCCGACTTCTGATTCCTCCCACTGATGGCAAATACTCCAGTGGCAGTTTGACTGGCAGTTGTGTGTCTGTGACTGTATTTCTGGCTTGTGGCAGTCCCCGTCTTCTACAGACTACTGGAGAGCTTTGACCTCTTTTTAGCCATCCTTCATGCACCTTCCTGAACTGTCTATTCCTGCAGCTCCGTCTTACAAGAGCTCACAAGGGCTCCCCACTACAGATGCCAACCTTTACCCATCTTCTGTGCAGCAGATGTATTTGCTCCCAAAATGTCATTCTTCAGGTCTTTTATGGTACCCTTTACTCAAAATTCTAGATTTTAAAATGCATCTTTTCTCTTACGGTTCCTAGGTTTTCCAAGTCCCAAAATCTCCTTCAACAGTACATTGTAATTCAGTCTCCTGGCTTTTCTTTGAATGTTGTTTTTTTTATATGTAAATCATTGACTCACCAAATATTTGGTTCTGTCTACAGAGGAAACTGAAAATACAGAATGGTTTTCCTCTAGGTACCATATTAGTTGTAGTAGTCATTTATGAAACTTGATCATGTTCCCATTGAGCTGAAAATCATCTAAGGATACCTAATTCCATTCTACACCAGGATCTACCCATCTGCCTATTGGGCTGCACTGTTACTCCCTGTCCCATGTTCCCGGGATGCCGATCTGGGCCACGTGGACCCCATCTGCTGCAGGCACATGGCCCTGCCCAGCCGAACTCCAACTCAGTGGGTTGGAGCTGGAGTTCAGATCTGCACTTTGGGAACCCCTCTGCTTGGGGCCCCAGCACCCCCAACAGGAGCAGAGCAGAGACCAGGCCCGAGCCAGGATGGACAGCAGCGCTGCGGGAGGGGACCAGAGCCCAGGAGGCACCGAGGCAGGCAGAACGGGCAGCACCAAGAGGTGTGGCTGGCGGTGGGTGACAGGGACCCTGTGACTTAGTGACGGCAGGGCTTGAAGCTCTGTCCACACAGAGGGCAAAGCAGGGCAGGAAGGGGAGGAGCCTCCAAAGCTATTCTTCCAGGAGGTGCATAAAGAGGAAGGAACAGGGCCCAGGTGGGTTTTGTTTCATCTTTTTGCTGTTTTTTTTTGTGGGTTTTTCTAGTTTTTTATCATGGTAAACTACACGAGATGAAGTCTGCCATTGTAGCCACTCCTAAGTGCACACTTAGATGACTGCAGGGCCCACATACATGATCTTTCCCCCTCTAAAAACTGAGACGGTCCCCGTCCAACATGATTGTTACCCTCTGCACAGGCCTGGCTGTCAGCACCAACTACGCATACTGTGAACCGGACTTCTCTGTGTTCTTTGGGAAAGTGGGCCCACAGTCCCTCCCCACTCCCTGTATCTTCTGCAGTCCCTCAGCACCCCGTCTCCAGGGTCCTCGCATTCTCTGGCCCAGATCTTGGTCTGCTTCCTTTTCAAAGCTGAGTACAATTGCACTGTGTGGAGGCCCCACATTCGTAGATCCAGTTGTGGGCCCAGGGACACTTGGGCTCCCACCATAGCTGTTGTGACAACTTGGGTACACGGTGTCGAGAACCCAGCTCTCTTGCATTTTTAAGGCAGGGATGGCCAGACGGTGTCACGTGCAAGAAGGACACAGAAACAAGCAGTAGAGAGAAACGTGAGGGAGCAGAGAAAGACGCGGGGCTCCAGTGGCCGGTGCAGCCCAAACGGTGGGCACAGGCAGCTTCTGACAAATGGCCCCAGGGTCCCCAGAGAGGAGAAAGGCCAGTGGGGTCACTTAGGGGCAGGGACAGCCATGCTGGGAGGGAACAGAGAGGTGATGACCAGGGTCTGTGCCAGGCTGAAGGGGTGCCACAGGCCAGGTGGGCTCAGGAGGAAGTGTGTGGTGAACCCACGGCCGGGTAGGAAGCCAAGAGGACCAGGTAGAGCACTGCCCGGTTCAGACGGAGGCGGCTGAGGGAGGGACTGTACACTGAACCACTGCCTCAATCAAAAAACAAAACCAGCTCATGAAATAACACAGCCCCAGCACCCTGAGACTGCACTCAGTGCCCAGAGCCAGCCAGGACAGCACAGTCACCTCTCAGCCTCCAACTGCTTTCATCTCCAATTGTCCCCAGAGGACACAGGGATTAGCACACCAAAGGGGTGCATCTGCTGTCCAGATGCTCAGGTTTCTTCTTGTTCCTGTCCAGGGCTGGGTCTATCTTCACGTGTCATCACCTGCTCTGCCATCTACTGTGACCAGGAAGGTCACCGTGCTGGGGCTCTGGCTATCCCTGCAAATGACCTGCAGAATCCCAGGACTTCAGCTCCTCCTGGCCACCATCCTCCCCACTCCTGGGATGGCAGCTCCCAGAGGAGGATCTGTATTCATTCGCAATTTCCAGTCATGTCCAAAAACAGGTAGCACCAGGCTTCCAGATCGGTACAGACGATGTTAAAACCAGTTTCCTCAGCTGCTCTTGTCCTTACAGTGGGCTGTTTGTAGATCATATGAGACAGACTTGGCTGCTGCTCCACCGGCATCGAGCATCTGGAAAATAAACACCGTGGGAAAAGAATTCCTGCAGCCTCCAGCATCCTCGGGGGTCACATCCTCCCCAGTTCAGCCATGAGCACCTATTTCCTGTTTTACTGCTCCATCTGCTGGTAAATCTGGAGAACCTCCTCCTCACCAACATGGAAAAGTTCACCTTTGCATTGTATTTTGACTGTCGTGTACTCAGGAAAGTGAAAATCTTTGCAAAAACACTATGAGACTGTTCCTTGTTTCAAGTCCTTGCCTTTGCTCATCAGTCATCTAAGTGTGAATGACTACAGGATCTCAAGTCTTGCCCTGATTTCCCCACATTTCTCTGAGCCTAAGAATTACTTGGCATCACTTTTTAAGAGAAAACTCCTCGCTCCTACCTCAGTCCTTCTGAGTCGGGATTCTCTGGGGATGTGTCTCTTTCAGAAGCTCCTCCAGTGGGTTTTTAAGCTCAGGCTCATGCAGGGGACACTTAAATCTGTCGGGGAAACTGCAGGGCCAGAGGAACCTTCTGCTGCAAGGGAAGATTCCATACCTGATCTCAAGTGAGGATCCCAGCAGAACAGCAGGTGCCTTAACAACATTGTTTACAGCGCCTTCGAGTTACGGGTAGAAGTCTCTGTGTGCAACACATACGAGTTTCGTGCTTAGATTTAAGTGCCACGCCCATATCTCAATGGGTGCAAACACGGCACAAGTTTTTAAAATCTGACATCCTAGCCCGGCATGGTGGCGCACATCTGTAATCCCAGAACTCGGGAGGCTGAGGCAGGAGGATCACTGTGAGTTCGAGACCAACCTGGGCTATATAGTGAGTTCCGGGTCAGTCTCAACTACATAGTGAGACCCTGTCTCAAAAAACAAACAACAACAAAAATCTGAGGTCCGAGGCGCCTGTGGTCCCCAGCGTTTTGAAGAAGCCTTGTAAGTGCAAAGTTCCCTTAGTGGAGCGAAGAACCTCGGCGGCCATCAGCCTCACCACAGTCTCCTGTGTGGCGAATTAGCCCGCTCTGCTTTACCTGTTCTCCGTGGTGTTCCCCGGGCAGAGAGCAGCTCTTGGCAGGGCCCACCTGGGGCTGTGCGGAGGCCCTCGGCGAATCTCCAGGTGCAGCGGAGGCCGCCGGGGGGCGCGGGGGAAGGCCTCACCCTGCACGTGGGCACGCGATGCGCGCTCCCGAATACACGTGGACGAACAGCCACATGTGCAGACCTGCAGCTGCCTCCTGCCCTGGCCTTCAGTGCAGTCTTACCCTCTTTGGGGGGATTTAAGCGTCACGTTTCCGGTGGGTGAGGCAGCTCGTGGCGCTCAGGGCCAGCGCGTGCTGGACTGCAGGCCACCGTGGCAGTCGCCACTTTCCCGCTCTCCCAGGTGCAGCCAGAGGAGGGCGGGGCCGGGC